GATTTCCGTGTGCATCCTCGCTGTAGATTCTGATAGTAAATACGCTGGCGGCGAGTTCTCATCTTTTTTAGCTAAGTGATCAGCACATGGTCTGTTCGAACACGTTGTTGATTGTTGATGTATTGTTATCTGCAAAGTACTCTAGTTTTGTGTTCAGGAAAACAAACAGAAATTGAATGTGTTTATTTTATTCCATTTGTTTGATTCAGAATAGGACTTATAGTTCGTGCATGCTGTCAGGCTAGACGCTGCCTAATTATATGTTGCAGTTGTTGCTGTGTAATGTGCTATTCGGGGGATAGAAAGGCAGAAGAAGAATGTGCTATTCACATATTCATGGCTTGAACCATGAGGAATATTTCTTGGCTGCTGCACCAGAAGCATCCTAATCTTGTCATTACTTGCCCTGTCTTCGCAGTCCAACGAGGAGGTAATTATTGTCTTAATCACATTTATTTTCTCGTCTCCCTCCTTGTTTTATCTTTTTCTGGTTCCTGCTAGCTCAAATATTTTTACGCACCAGTTGGTAGTCAAAAGGGGATGTTGTCATTATCACATCTACCACTTTTACTTCCTAGGACAATCCCTAATTACATATTTTAGGCTGGGTCGACCAGGGAGCCAAGATCAAATTCTAAGGGGGAAAAAAATATTCTGCCTGATTTGAACTCTGGACCTGTGAGATAGCAGGTGAGCATCTAACCACTACGCAGCCGTGACTACCAACCTGAGGCTTATGGTATGGTTATCAAAAGGTCGGCATATCTGTTTACATGCCCACCTAATTCAAATTAACTTTTTTTCTGCTGTTAACATGGATTCGTATTTGTTCAATGTTATGGCTTGAGGACACCTACCTTGGCTGGTAGCTGATTAATGAGGGAAACTTCGACATGCGAACAGACACAGCACTGTTCTTTTGGTCAGGCAGCTACTGCAGTGGGCTTTTTCAAAAACGTATTGGTGTTACCTTTTCTTTGGAGTAAACATTGCAGACCGAGTTAGTGATCACGATGCATGGGCAACACATGGTCGTTACAAAACTACCCGGCCTTTGTGCTATGGGCTGTAATTCCGATACCTCCTCTCGCACAACATAACACTATCGCCTAGAAAGATGGAAGGGTGCCAACACAGAAAACATGGATATTTATTATTGTTGTTATTAATGTCGCCAGTAAACGTTGTTGTTGTCGCTAAAGAATTTCTTCGTAGCCAAGCAAAATACGGTGTACGCTTTAAGCTACACTAGAACGTGGTGTGTTTGTTTTTTGACAGAGCAGGTGTTACATCGATTCGCAAGGGTGACAGTACACATTAACACATTAGAGATATGAGATAGAATTATGAATGAATCAGATGTGTAGCATACATAAGGAATCATATATATGGGATGAAACAGATGAATGAATCAGGGGTATGGGATTGAACATGTTAATTAAGATGCTTAGAATAGATTAGATTACTGAATCAAGGGTTCGAGAGAGCAGATTATGGAATAGAGATTTGTAGTAGAACAGATCGATCAATTAGTGGTATCAGATAGAACAAATTATTTAATAAATGGTATGTGAACAGATTAATGAATCAGTGGTATGGGATAGAACCAATTAATTATTTAGAGAAATTGGATAAAACAGATTAATGAATCAGAGATATGGGATAAAGCCGATTAATGAATCAGAGATATGGGATAGAACTGATGAATGAGTCAGTGGTATGGAATAAAACCAGTTAATTAGTGAGCGAAATAGGATAAAAGAGATTAATGAATCATATGGGATAGAATCGATTAATGAATCAGAGATATGGGATAGAACTGATAAATGAGTCAGTGCTATGGGATAGAACCGATTAATGAATCAGAAATAGGGGACAGAACAGATTACTGAATTATAGAAAAAGATAACACTTTAATAAATCAAAAGTAGGGGATATAACGGATTATTATATTAGAGGCATGAAATATTATTTATCAGTTAGAGCTATGGGATATAATAATGAACGAAATGATTGATATAGAACAGATTAGTGAATTACAGGTAAGGGATATAACGGATTAATGAATCTGGTGGTTTCGGAAATATTAACCAATTATACGTATGAGGTAGAATATAATAATGAATTTGAGGCATAGGGTAGTACTAATTATTGAATCAGAGGTATCAGAACAGATTACTGAATCAACAGTATAATATATAAGATATTAATGGTTCAGAGGTAAAAGGTACAATGGATTATTAAATCAGATATAGGGGATTTACGGGTTAATAAATATAAGGTATGGGATAGAACTGATTAATAAATCAGCTCTATGTGGCTGAACTGAATAACGAATCAGAGGTATGTGACTGCATGTATTAATGAACAAGTGATATGTGATAGCATGTATTATTGAACCAGTCATATGTGATAGCATGTATTAATGAACAAGTGATATGTGATAGCATGTATTAATGAACAAGTGATATGTGATAGCATGTATTAATGAACCAATAGTGATAGCATGATATAGCATGTGAACCAGTGATATGTGATAGCATGTATTAATGAACCAGTGATATGTGATAGCATGTATTAATGAAACCAGTGATATGTGATAGCATGTATTAATGAACCAGTGATATGTGATAGCATGTATTAATGAACAAGTGATATGTGATAGCATGTATTAATGAACAAGTGATATGTGATAGCATGTATTAATGAACCAGTGATATGTGATAGCATGTATTAATGAACAAGTGATATGTGATAGCATGTATTAATGAACCAGTGATATGTGATAGCATGTATAGCATGAACCAGTGATATGTGATAGCATGTATTAATGAACAGTGATATGTGATAGCATGTAATTATATGTGATAGCATGTAATAATGAACCAGTGATATGTGATAGCATGTAATAATGAACCAGTGATATGTGATAGCATGTAATAATGAACCAGTGATATGTGATAGCATGTAATAATGAACCAGTGATATGTGATAGCATGTAATAATGAACCAGTGATATGTGATAGAACGGACTGACTAATCAGATCCCCGGGAGTAAAAAGGCTTGAGAATTTACACTTTCTTTTTTCTTTGTGTCCACTTTGTGCTTTATGCCGCTAGGCGTCACAGGTCGACAAGGTTATCTGTTTCCGAGCTAGGGCACTCTCTTTGCTCGATATGCTATGATGTTGCACAGTCTCAAGATATCAGTGACTCCTTCAATTCATATTCTTCTTGGCCGTCCCCTGCCTCTTGATGTTTCTACTTTCATGTCGTACGTTAAACTTTGATCTTTTATCTTTATGTCGATTGTTTGATGTTTTCTGGCTGTACATATGACTTATGTATTTTTAATCTTGATTTTCATTTTATGTTTAAAGCAGCTGTAGTGTTGTTGGTTTACGTGGTCCTGTAGCTGATTAACTTGAATGTTGAATTTAGAATCGACACAGCACTCGGGACATTCCCATAAGCGCTCAGTCCCTATCTTCAGCAGCAAGCATAGAGTTCCAATTCCGATGGCACCAGTAATCGTCTGACTGTATATCCGTCTCGTCTTTCCCCTGAGTGTTGAGCGCCGGCCAGATCCCCTTGTAACTCCTCGCAGCACCATTCTCCGCAGACCGTAAGAATCTATATGTGCTTCCGCTCTGTTCGGTCGCTCCCAAAGAGCCCTCACAACATCCAGCTTGGCATACATCAGTTCACTACCAAGCGGTGCAGAACCGGCCAGTCTATCTGCCTGCCTCATTTCCCAACACACCGGCATAACCTGTAAAAAATATCCAAAGGATGCTAACTACCCAGAACCTCCAAAGCGATGCTTGAAACTCTGCACGAAGCATGCCTGTCTCCACCTTTATCAACATGCTCTGCGAGTCAGTAACAATCACGGCATGTGTGTACGGCTGATTCTCAAAGCAGTGGAAGGCAGCAGTGACTGTCTCCACCTCCATTCTCAAACTAGACGTTGTGATATCATATGCCAATGTTTGCTGCACCAAGCGACGTCCATTCATTTTTCCTTTGAACACCCATGCACTTCGTCTGCCCCTTAAAACAAAGAACCATCTGTATAAATAATAACATCACATCATGATCGCGTGCGCAACTGCTGATCTGTTGGTAACTTCTGCTACCGTCGATGATGAAGTGCATTTCTAATGTCGGACTGTTTGTGTTAGCACTTCCAATGGCTACCGTATGCTTTTAATGGGTGTGTATATCCTGAGACAGCAGTCTGTCAATCTTTCCACAAGGAACTGCGACGAAAATTCTGTGTATTTTATGTTGGCACAGGAGCAGAGCAACCATGGGGTGACCCGTTTGCTATGAAGCTGAAACTAAGATTACCAAGATTACATCCCATGGGTGAGAATTGTCATCAGTCAGTTGTTGATCTTCTGAATCTGCAGCACCAGCGGGCCATTCGCTGCACTCACGACCCAAAGTGATTGGAACCCTACACAAGTCTGAAACTTGCTCGGACTCTTTGACCCACTCTTCTCCTCGCTCAAAATTATCGAGCCTGCACACATGTCCAATCGTGTCTTCAGCTTGCACTATCCAAGACCTTCATTTTTTTAAGACTGTGATCCTTAGCTCTTCAGCTTGCACTATCCAAGACTTTCATCTTTTTAGCCTGTGATCCTTAGCTCTACCCAGGGCTTCATGCAGGAGGTGCTTCGTCTGCAGTTACTCTGAGATATGGCTTTGCTTGCAGAACTTTGAGCCTATCAGCAATAGTAGGCAGTGCAAGCATTTATCGCATACATTCTATCCGCGTTGCTGAATTCTGTATGCGTTCAAGTTTAGCTGATGTGGTATAGGCATTGATCGTCGGCGAAAAGGAGTTCAGTGAAATGTTCTTGTTCATTCCCTTCTGGTGACCTTTTGTTTTCTTTATGGGCCTGTATGAAGAATATGTGTTCTGTATCCGACAGGTTGAAGGACAACATCAAATTGTTGAAGTTCAGAGGATAAGCGAAGACATGGCGCAGGAGTCGCCTGTCGTAAACCAGCAGTCCCAAGGAGGGGAGGATAATTCTGTAATGACTAGGCTGCAGAACTTCACATCAATCGATGTGTTCATCTCCCTGTTGCAAAGAAATGGCTTACCGGTAACCAGCAGCGACAGTAAGTTCTTCTTCTTCTTCGCCTCTTTTTCCTAATTTCCCGTCTTCTTCTTCTTCTTCTTCTTCTTCTTCTTCTTCTTCTTCTTCTTCTTCTTCTTCTTCTTCTTTTTCTTCTTCTTCTTCTTCTTCTTCTTCTTCTTCTTCTTCTTCTTCTTCTTCTTCTTCTTCTTCTTCTTCTTCTTCTTCTTCTTCTTCTTCTTCTTCTTCTTCTTCTTTCTTCATTTTCCGTCTTCTTCTCTTCTTCTTCTTCTTCTTCTTCTTCTTCTTCTTTTCTTTTCATAAATTCTTCTTCTTCTTCTTCTTCTTCTTTCTTCTTCTTCTTCTTCTTCTTCTTCTTCTTCTTCTTCTTCTTCTTCTTCTTCTTCTTCTTCTTCTTCTTCTTCGCCTCTTTTTCCTAATTTCTCGTCTTCTTCTTCTTCTTCATCTTCTTCTTCTTCTTCTTCTTCTTCTTCTTCATCTTCTTCTTCTTCTTCTTCTTCTTCTTCTTCTTCTTCTTCTCCTATTTTTCCTAATTTCCCGTCTTCTTCTTCTTATTCTTCTTCTTCTTCTTTTTCTTCTTCTTTCTTCTTCTTATCTTTCGTATTCTTTTTCTACTTCTTCTTTTTCGTTGTTTTTCTTCCTTAAAAAGCAGTTGACTCGTTGTATTTTGATTTAGAGCTAGGCTGTGATATTGGCGCCTTTTAGCACAGCACTTCGAATTTCAGCAAAACAACAGAAAATGACACGAAAAAGATGACAGCATCAGAATCGGAGGTAGTTGTAGTGGAGCTGAAATCTAGAATTCACTAAACTTTCACAAAACTATGAGTCTAAAAGCTGAACAGAGACACGAGAAATTGTTGTTGCTTCAGGCTGGAGAAAATAAGGAGAGAAGATTCATTACAACCTTTCATTAGAGCATGGAGTGTCAGTTGACGACAACCTTTTGTTAGAGCGTGAAGTGTCAGAATTTGTATCATGGTATAGGGCGTCGCAGGTCGACCCAGCCTAAAATGGGTACCAGTATGGCTGTCCTGGGGAAGTAGACGACCCGCCTAATGCTGACCACATGACATGTATCTTAGTGCACTTGTATTCATGGCGAGGCGCAGACGCCGTCTGGAGGTGACAGGTTCAATTCCCGGCACGGTAACTATAGCTTTCGATTTTTATGTTGTCTAGTGTGGGTCTATCTTCTACTTCTTTCTATGAGTGCCGTTCAAATACTTTCTGTTACTTGATTAATTCATAATATTTAACGGCTTCAAATGGTTCCCCTCTCTGTTTATTTATAGGAATGACGTATACACACCGGAAACCTACCAATCAAATACTTTCTTAAATGTTTGTGTATTCTAACAGGGCAATAAGTGTACTGTACGTAAATTGTTGCTGTGATTGTTATTTGACATTTGCCTCGTTAATATAAATTTCTGTAACCTATGCTGGAGATTTCAATGGGTTGAAGAATTCTGTCCGTATTCCATAGTCGTTATTTCAAGCTGTTTACGATAGACATGGCCAATGAGACCTTTTTTAAGGGGTGGCCGAGGTTGACCAGTATCTTAGTGCACTTGTATTCATGGTATGGCGCAGACGCCGTCTGGAGGTGACAGAATTCCCGGCACGGTAACTATAGCTTTCGGTACCATGTTGTCTAGTGTGTTTCTTCTATCTTTCTACTTCTTTCTATGAGTGCCGTTCACAATACTTTCTGTTACTTGATTAATTCATGACCCACCTAGTGCCGACTGTAAAAATATGGCGCTCTTCCCATATACACAATGCCCCTAAGGGCGTGAAAAAGGATCTTTACTTTGTCTTTGTCGGCTCTGTGGCTAAGTCGATGCAAACGCTTCGTAATGCCGGGATGACGGGTTCGATCCCAGCTGCGGGCCATGCGCCTTGCGTTGGTTTCAACAGTGGTATCAAGAAAGCCGACCGCCCAGAAAGCAATGGCAAACTACTGGACGTAAATTTGACTAGAAAAACCACACAACAGCCAGGGGCTGCTGGGATTGGTTCTGCAACGTCCTGTAAAGGATGCGCAACAATATACTTTGTCTTTACTTTGTGGAGTGACAGATGAAGAACAATCAGAAGCTGGCAGCAACTGTACCACGCGGAGAATCTGGGAAATAATATGTATTCGAATGTGCAATAAAAACAATATTCGAATGTTCAATAAAAACAATATTCGAAATATTAAATGTGCCTTTTGCACCAGGTTCTGACGCCTATGGTGTGTGTGTGTGTGCGTCTGTGCATGCATGCGTGCGTATGTGTGTGCTCGCGCTCGTGTGTGTTTGTGACTATAAATAATTACCAGAGATATCTGTAAATAGAACGGTCGCCGTGAAATTTTACGAAGAGGAGGATTCATTGTCGTATGTCGCCGTCCTGCAACGTGCGTTTATTTATAGACGCTGGTTGGTCACCAAGTGCACGTACTTGGACAAGCTGGCCAAAATCTGGATCTGACTGCGGCTTGAAGTGGCCAGAACGTGGGAACATTTGCAGTTTGATTGAGGTCAGGATTGTTCCTGGTACTTTCATTTTATACGACCACATCTCGTCGGCTGAGAGATTTGGTAAGGCAATCCCCAAAACGTCTCATAGTATGCAGGTGGGGGTGGGGGGGGGGGGTAACGTTAGGCTTAGTAGTAGTTGCTATTCATTTAACTAAGTAAAGTAAGTAAAGGACCCATTCCACGCCATCATGCGTATAGGGCATATAGGGCTAGACCTATATTTTTGTAGACCAATCGGCACAAGATGGGTGATGTGGTCAGTATCACGCCGGCCGCCTTTACTTTCCCGGGACTGCACCCGGTACCCACTCAAGGCTGGGTCGACCTGGAAGCCCAGGCTATTCATTTAACACTATCCCTAACCAAACACCCCCCCCCCCCCACTCCCGCCCCCTCCCTGCACTGACGTACGTTAATAATATAAGAAGACAATAAATAACTTGCGGTAAAGTATTGTCTAATGTTTCTTGTTTCATTTTCAGTTTTCAGCAATTATTCAGATTTCGACGGCGCAATGCACATCAGCACAGGTATGTAAACTGGCTGTAGTACTTACTGCGTTAGTGACTACTTACTACATACTGACTACTTACTACGTTACTGACTACTTACTACGTTACTGACTACTTACTACGTTACTGACTACTTTCTACATACTGACTACTTACTACGTTACTGACTACTTACTACGTTACTGACTACTTACTACGTTACTGACTACTTGCTACGTTACTGACTACTTACTACGTTACTGACTACTTACTACGTTACTAACTACTTACTACGTTACTGACTACTTACTACGTTACTGACTACTTACTACGTTACTGACTACTTGCTACGTTACTGACTACTTACTACGTTACCGACTACTTACTACGTTACCGACTACTTACCACGTTACTGACTACTTACTACGTTACTGACTACTTGCTACGTTACTGACTACTTACTACGTTACTGACTATCCACTAGTGTGAATCAAAAATATGGCTACATGTTTAATTGCAGGTTTTGTCACATGGCGGTGAAGATCAAAACTTATTCTTGAATTTAAAGACAACGAAAATAATGTCCACACACAAAACTGGCTGTTAGCCAAAAAATAACAATAAATAATGAAGAAATTAAAAATGTCACAAAGTTTGAATATCTAGGCTCTATAATAAATAGCAATGGAAACTGTTTGAAATAAATCAAAAGAAGAAAGGCCATAGCAATGCAAAGATAAAACAGCATTAAATGTCTGGTTAAGCACCAGCAAGGAAATCAAAATTACAATGCATCATCCTTATAGCAGCATAAATGTGTGAGTCATGGACTATCTCTCAGTCCTTAAGAAAGAAAACGGGTTTTCGACCTGAACAGCACCCTACCCAGTTCGGATGCCAGGTTACTTCTGAACCGACTTTGATCCTAATACAGGGTTATTCAAAACTGATGGATTCACTTTCATTTATGTTTATTTCCTAAAATATGAATAGTATTTTAAAAAAAAAATGTTTAAAAAGGTAGACAATTCTCTAAACAAAGGTCTTAGAAGAATACTAAATCCACTGAACAGATTTCAGATCCAGTTCGCAAATAAGACAAGAGATCAAGCAAGATAATGTATCAAATTTTATTTTGAAAAGCGCCGCTGGAACTACATCGGTCGTGCACTCAGAATGAATAAGAACAGACTTCCCTATCAAGCCCTCACATGGACAGCGCAAGGAAAAATAAAACGGGAAGACCAAGTGAGACGCTGCGAATAGCCATCATCAGGAAAGGCTCAACCATAAGCCTAATAAACGTCAAGACCTAAAACGGGTGGCAACAAACTGCCAGATATGGAGGACTATAACCTCTTCACTATGCGATGCCCGAGCCTGAAGAGGAGAGACTAACTAACTAAATGAATAATATACACACAGGAGAGAGGAGAAGGTCCAAAGTATTCAAAGCAACCACTAGAGCGCAGTTGCATAAGCAACCACTCGAGTGCGCATACTTTTTCCTGCGGGAGTATGTCAAATAAGCCGGAACTCGTTACCCAAACGATGCTTTTTCGTATGTGGGATGAGTTCGGCCTAGCAGCAGTCAGCAGCCATATTGAACATCAATAACCTCTACTGCAAGTCCGTGAACTTTAGACCTTTCTCTCAATCGTGTATATATATATATATTAATTAGGGCTGTACCGAATAGTGATTTTCACTATTCGGCCGAATACGAATAGCTGGACCAACTATCGGCCGAATACGAATACGAATAGTGAATCATCATCATCATGTGCTTTGCCGGCTGGCATGGGTGATTATGCCTCGCCACAATTTGCGATCTCCTGCAGCACGTATTAGTTCGTGTGCTGAC